AAGTTCGTCAATAATGGTGCTGAGTGCGCTGTCGGTGGGTGTAATTGGTGATGCGGTATCAAAGCCTTATGAGATGAATAGTAGTAAGTACATGGAGTGGTTGCTTGGCTGTTTGCGGTTTACTAACCTTGATAGCTACTACCGTTGGAGCGCTACGACCGCACGTACATGCTACTGGACTACCAGTACCGCCATACAGTTTATCAACATTAATACCAGCGCCCAGCTCAGTCGACGTCGTCCCATACCCGATTCCATCACCATCAAATACAACCCTTGCCGCCTCTCCTCCCTCGTTATCAACTACGTACGCGGTATCCAGTCCCTCACCAGAAGCAGCACAAGTGGCACTGCCAATATCAAGTTCGTTCAGTGTCACTACTCAGAACTCAACATACATATACCCATCGCTATCGGGCTCAGCAACCGTCGTCTCGCCGGCTTCGGTTCCCACTCCAGGCTATGTGCCTATAGTAGTTGAAGTTGTCTGTGAGACAGTATACTACTCAGCATCGCCAAGCTCTTCAGTTGCTTCGACTGTGGTAACCCCCATCGCTACTCCCTCGTCAGGTTTTGCCAGCATCCATCCTGGTCTGGCAATAGCTGCAGTTGGTCAAGCTGATGAGCCGGCTGCTTCTGCTTCCATCAACCTCCCGCTCTTGTCGTCGATCTTAATACCCGATGTCAACCACCAAACTATCTTCACTACGACTACCACCACGACAACCACTGTCATTCTGACGCTACCCACTCCGCTACTTCCGACCTCTTCAAACGTCGAATCTACTGCATCGGCGACAACGACAACGACTGTGGTTACACTCACGTCTGCTTCCGCATCGGCATCAGCAGACCTGCCCGTTTCGACATCAACAAGCGATTCGGAAGAAACGTCATCATCGCCAACCGACTCTGCATCGACCATCCTCTCCACCGTCACCGTCACATCCTCAACACCATCACCACCCTCCAACACGGACACCGCCTTCCCCACCGCCCCACCCTTCTCCTACAACCCCTCCGCTTCCCGTGGCTCCGCCTCTCCCATCTCGCGACCCACACCCGAACCCTCCAGCGCCCTCGTCGCCGGCTCGACGCTCAGCACCGCTACCACACCTAGCTCAACCTCAACACGCATCTCGCAATACACCGGTGAACCACCTGCACCCCCGGCTGCCACCGGAGGTGCGAGTGGTATGCTGAGTGACAGGAGTAAGGAGAGGGTTTGGTGGGTTGCGTTCTTCGTTCCTTTGTTGCTTTTGGGGTAGAATGTGATGTGTGTGACAGAAGTGTAAGGAAGAGAGGACGATTACGATTCTTATGTGTTTATTATGATGATATTATTTAATGTTTGTATTAGTAATTAAGAGAGAATTGAGATGAGATGGAATGGAATGGAATTGGGGAAAAAGGAGGATATACCAGGTTTTATGGCGCATGTATGGCGTTCATACTAGATTCGGGGCCTTGGATTTGATGTCAAATGGGCAATTGTCTACGGGGTATGCTACAATGAGTTCTGATGGGCTTTAGATGTTGAAAGAGTGTTATATAATGTCAAATGAAGTTTTCATTCAAGCAAACTTGCCATGCAATACGTTCAAGACCAGCGACGTCATCGAATTCACAAGTAGCTGCAACAGCGATGCAAAGCCTACGGATCTAGTCCCTAGTTTCCGAAAGAACAGGATCAGTACATCAAACTATGTCCAAAAAGTTCAACGACTGAGATGATCCGGGGTTGAAGTGCGGAGAGCGTTGTTCGTTGGAGATCAGAGCGGGGGAGAAGCGCCTTGGCTAGCGCAAGCCACCATTTCTTCCGTCAATCAAACCTCATGTCCCACACACTCGACATAGCTTTCTTCGCTTCCGTTCCACGCGTAAAGTCGGAAATGCACGCGTCTATAATGAAAATGCGATCAGAGCAAGCCTCCCGATCTGCACCGAATGTGCGCTCGAGGAGTTAGCACGCGTCGCATGCAGCCCAACAACCGCCGGCGGCATCATTTCGGTTGGGAAGTATGACATAGATCATCGCCCATCGAACCGGTACCTCAATATACAATGGGCGTCTCGGGTGAAGATTGTCCGCAGTACATCCAGAAGTCTGCATGCACCCTGTCCAACGGCCCGTAGACCCTGGAGAGCATCTATAAGACTTCCGGTACATTGTCTAGAACCCAGTATCCGGGCGAGACTACACTCACACAGTGTACACTCCATTCCAGCATGCGGCAATTCTTCTCCGGCTCAGCGTCCCTACTCGCTGGGTGCGCTCTGCTCCTTCCCAGCAGCGCATACGACTTGGTTCGCAGACAGCAAGCAGCGAATGCTACATACAAGGATGCTTCCGCACCAGTCGAGGACAGAGTGACAGATCTTCTTTCCCGGATGACTATCGAGGAAAAGACAGCTCAGCTCATTCAGGGAGATATTTCGAATTGGATCAACACCACAACCAATGCTGTCAACGAGACAGGTCTGGAATGGAATTTCCGCGTCCGCGCGGGCCAGTTTTACGTCGGCTATCCGATACCTGCGGAATGGATCAGCAATGGCGTCAAGATTGGCCAGGACTATCTTCTGCACAACACGACATTGGGCATTCCAGCAATGGTTCAGACGGAAGCTATACATGGCCTGCTCGTCGGTAATGCGACCATCTACAACAGCCCAATTGGGCAAGCATGCTCGTGGGATCCGCAGCTGATACACGACATGGCTGTGGCGATTGCAAAGGAATCGGCTCCTCTCGGTATCAATCAACTGTTCGCTCCACTCGCGGATCTGGCGCGTGAGCTGCGTTTCGGAAGAGTGGAAGAGACATACGGCGAAGACGGTTTCCTGGCTGGCGAGATGGCATACGAATACGTCAAGGGAGTGCAAAGTCTTAATGTTAGCGCCACAGTCAAGCACTTTGCCGGATTCAGTAATCCAGAGCAAGGTCTCAACACTGGACCAGTTCATGGAGGCGAACGAGAGCTGCGAACTACCTGGCTGCCGCCGTTTCATCGTGCTATCATGGATGCTGGTGCCTGGAACATCATGGGTGCTTATCACTCTTACGATGGACTACCTTCAATCGCGGATGGCCATATGCAAGAGACAATTCTCCGCGAGGAATGGGGTTACAAGTACTGGCTCACTTCGGATGCGGGCGCTACAGACAGGCTGTGCTGCAACTTCAAGCTGTGCCAATGCAAAACAGAAGATACGCCAATCGATAGCGAAGCGGTAACACTCATGGCTCTACCAAACGGCAACGACGTGGAGATGGGTGGAGGCTCATACAACTACGCAAACATTCCACGCTTGGTCGAAGAAGGCAAGCTAGACATCGAGATCGTTGACCGAGCCGTGAGCCGCCAGCTCCGAGCGAAGTTTGAAATGGGTCTCTTCGAGAACCCATACAAAGGCCTCTCCACAAACGCGACTGAGTCCATCATCCACCCTGAAGAGCATGTGCAGCTTGCGAGGACACTTGAGGCTGACTCCATCGTCTTGCTCGAGAACAAGAACAGCACCTTGCCTTTCTCCAAGTCTGCGAACATTGCCGTCATTGGCCCTATGGCAAACATTACTAACCTTGGAGACTACGTGGTCTATCGCTCTCAATACAACCCTACCAACGTTACACCGTTGCAAGGCATTCAGATTGCATCTAGTGGCACTGTGACCTACGCCCAAGGGTGCGAGCGCTGGTCAAACGATCAGTCTGGCTTCCCCGATGCCGTCGCGGCGGCCGAGGCTGCAGATGTCGCAGTAGTCGTCGTCGGTACCTGGTCACGCGATCAGCAAGAGCTCTGGCAAGGTCTGAACGCCACTACCGGTGAACACGTAGACGTCGCATCACTCAACCTCGTCGGCGCCATGGGCGAGCTCGTCCAAGCCATCATCGAAACCGGCAAACCCACCATCGTCGTATACTCCTCCGGTAAACCCGTCACCGAGCCCTGGATCTCCGACAACGCAGCCGCGCTCCTCCAACAATTTTACCCCGGTGAGCAAGGCGGCAATGGACTAGCCGACGTCCTCTTCGGCGACGTCACGCCCTCCGGCAAACTCTCAGTCTCCTTCCCTTACGACGTCGGTACCCTGCCAATCTACTACGACTACCTCAACTCCGGGCGGGCCACCGACGCCGGAGCCATCTTACCAAACGGCACCCTCCAATTCGGCCACCAATACGTCCTCAACAGCCCCCAGGCACTCTACGAGTTCGGCTACGGCCTCTCCTACGCAAACTTCACTTACTCCAATGTCACACTCTCAAAGACCGAAGTCAGCCCCAGTGACACCATCACCGCTACCGTAACTGTAACGAACGAATCCGAGGTAGATGGCAAGGAGGTAGTGCAGGTCTATGTTCAAGATGTTTTCGCTAGTGTTGTAGTGCCCAACAAGGAGCTCAAGGGCTTCAACAAGGTTATGGTCAAGGCGGGTGAGACTGTGAATGTTAGTATTGAGTTGGATGTGGCTAAGTGGGGGCTGTGGGATAGGAAGATGCAGTATGTGGTTGAGAAGGGGGATTTTGTTGTGCATGTTGGGGCGAGCTCGATGGATTTGAGGGGGAATGCGACGGTTACTGTGGTTTGAGATTGCATAAGTCATCATCTGTTTGATCTTGCATCAGAAATAGTAGATGAATCGGCTGATACGAAGACGATTAATGGTGATGCTGTGGTGGTTCGAGTCGAGAAACGGCAGCTTGATTTGGTTGTATCATCACGTGACACCGCGTCACGCGCTAACCTTGGAAGGCACGATGAAGCCACGCTAAGCGTGGTCCGTGCTTTAGCAAACACACGCTTACTCCAGCTCTCCCCTCGTCTCACTCTCGCTCGCTAACATTGCTAGTTGGAGGCCTACATCCTCTACTTTTGTTGTGTTTCTTGGGTGGTGGATCGTTCTTTGCATCCCGCGCCACGTTTCAATACCTTTACGCCGCCATAACACTTCTAAGCTTGCGTACGCACAGCTGCGGGTCTTCGTTCTAAGTCATGGTGTTATTCGGCTCTGATGACTTCAACTTTGATGCCAACCCGATCCCGGGTCCCGGTCCATCAGGAAAGCAATTGGAACGGAATGAAAACACCAGCGACTTCGACGAGTCCTCTGATGGCGACAATAATCAACTCGATTTGAACACTGATCTCATTGGCGTTAATCGCACGACGAAGGATCTCAATATCGTGAATACTTACAGGCCACGTTGGACATGTAAAGAAGCCTTCCGTGAGTCTTACCAAAACTGGTGAGTGTATTTGCTGGTGATCTACAGCAGAAACGTCTGACTAGCTGTAGGAGAGACGGCATCCTGAAATCCTTCAACCTGAAGCTATCCCAACTTCGCCCTACGTATACCGAGAACAAGACAAAACGACTCATACTCATCGAGGCGCATCACCCAGAAACCAAAGAGCTTCTTGGTTTTATACAGTTTAAACACGATAAGGACGGATACTGCGTTGGAGGCCTTAGGATCGTCAACTTCAAAGCCACTCTCAAGTACCGCAATCTGGGTACTGGTGCGACGACTAAGGCCTATGATGATGGACAAACGGGACAGCATGGAGACGGCATGAAGATCTCCGCTCTTGTTTATCGGCGCAACAACTACAACGTCCGTTATGAGAGCAGTAGTTTCAAGTGGAGATTTCTCTATAAGAAGGGGAGCTTAGCCTGTTCGCTCACCCGCATTAACGAGACGATCTTGAAGCAGATGATGAAGAAGGCGCGGGGTCAGCCGAGGACTCATAATTCGCATCCGTGGGAAGATGTCTGTTTGATAGTTGGCGCTCCAGGACCTACGCGGGATATCTATGGACGTAGGAAACCAGGTGAACGACTCTCGATTACCGATTTCAAGAGATGGATTACCGTCACGCTCGACATCGACCCACCCCAGAACATTATCCACACCAGTCATGGCGATCTCATCCGCGACCCCAAATATCGAGGACACATGTACCTGCGTGGTCTTCTCTTACCGCGCGGGGGTACTAGGGGGAACAACTACAAATACGGCTATAACTTCGTTGAAGGAAGTACTAGCTCTGACCGCGATGCGCTTACGGGCGGAGGAGAAGAGAGTGAAGGAATATCTGCCATCTGGACAGCTGCGATACGAACAGACCAGTCGACTGACTCAGAACTCGTATCAGACTACACCGAACTGCTTCTGAGTTCCATCAATAAGATGGGCGATGTAATGCTGCATATCGACGATGGAGAGGATGAGCTCATGCCAGGCGATATTGCCAGGCAGGTCTGGGCGAAGATGTTGACGCTCAATACGGATGGAGATAATCGGGCAGCCTTCTACTATTCGGCTGCTGAGGGGAAAGACGTGAGTTGAGGATATGTACTGGAATGCTCTCGACTAATTCTTGCATTTTAGCAGGTTCATATCATTGAAAAGAGTTTGCGCCAAAATCCCGTACCGATCGACCCTGAGTTATGGAGGATCTTGCGCAAGTATTTCCTTTGCAGAACGCCGAAAGATGAGCTGCTACACCGATTCAAGTCCGCAGAACTTGTTAAATTTCCTAGATGGACCCACAGTCACTTCGCGTCATACATGCGGCAAATGTTGCAATGTCTGCTGCAGTCTTGTCCGGCAACGCAGGCTATGAATCTCAGGTTCGTGAAAGGCGAGCACTTGAATATCGATGCCGGATTCTTTGCGGGTACGTGGAAGGTTCACAACAAGTGGCTTACTTGGGAGGGAGCGCATGATCAAGCCTTCTGCGAAGAAGATCAAAGTTCAGGCGGGGATCTATTTTCATGCGACCATGCAGTCCTGCAACTATGGGATATCATGATCTCTCAGCTCATGGCGAATGGGGAACATCCACAAGTCGTTGCTGATGAGCGCTGGCTAAAGAGCATGGCCAGAAGCCGCTTATTGCAGATGCCTCGATCGGTTGAGTGTGCCCCAACGGAGAAGAAAGGCGAACTCGTTGTCACGTGGGAATCTATAGACTCACATAGGCACAAGCACAAGACGATCAGAGTTGTCTTGCATCGGATTGAACGCACGCCTGGCCATATACCGGACACAAGCTATATATACCTTAGCGGCAAGTATCCTAAGGACAATGGCTACTATTGCCAAGCTAACTGCGAACAGATCGGCTTTGCTCGTGTCCCGAAATTTCATCGCAAGCTGTCAGCGACGGAGTCACCTTCACAGGCCTCAATCCCAGCTTTAAGTACGTTCCTTACGTGTCAAGAGACATTGAGGGGGCTTTCATTGCTCCAGTCCCGAGACCTGCAAAGCCTCTTGAGGAAGACAATGTTGCTGTACAGATTCTTGGAGCAGATGCTAACAATGTATTACGTAAGTCATTCTGTCCCATCTCCACGATATTCAGAGAGAGTTTAGCTAACATATTCAGCTTCGATCGAGACTAACTTACGCTCTAATGCTGCGGAACCAGTGCGGCCGCGTAGCAACTATCAACCTCCCCATGTCAGCGATGACGACGAAATGGGAGACAACGGCTCTCTCTATCAACCACCAAGTATAAGCTCGCCTCTATCGGTTCCAATGGCTCCGCCATCTCCGCCGGCGCCCCCAAGCCCAAAGCCACCACCGATGCGCAGGCAGCCAATACGAGTGAATTTGGCAAAGAAGCCCAAGGAAGATACGTACGGTCAGTATAGCTCGTCCCCAATATTACCAGTTTCGCGAATTGACATTCGCAAGTTCTTGGTACCAGAATTGAGCACAAATCGCTTGATTGGGGCGGTAGCTTTCCTGGAAGTCATGACTTCTACCGGACTTGCGATAAACCAGACCAGGAGATATATATTCTGAAGCCGAAGGTCAATACAATAAGACCGCGTCACAAAAGGATGCAGTCTGGACCTAAAGAGCGCGGTAGTGCGAAGAAATCGAGAACCGGCACTGTGACAGAACGAGCGGCCCCATCTGCATACATCGTCCTTTCGAGCCCAGAGCCAGAAGACGATATCGACACGCCCGCTCCCCGCGAAAGTCTTGCTGTGCGCAGTGGGCCAGCGGATATAACCCCACTACCAGAGAGAGGCATAGTGTATCGGTACTGAGCGGGCGATACGATGGCAGCAGCTGAACATTTAGCAAGACCGCTGCCAAACGACCGTACGAGGCCTCTTATTGGGCACTCAATCAGCGGCTCTTGCACTAGATCGGCCAATGTACCGTGTCCACGCGAAGCAGACTGGCGACGCCATCCTGCAGGGCCATCGGGCTCCGCTGTCAACCCTAGTCTATCCGTTCTGCATCGACCTTGCATTCGCGTATGAGCTTAGAGTACTCAAAAGCTCCTATTGGACGTTTTGGTCGATGTATTGGTCGTCTCGAGCCTGGTTGTGGTTGGCTTGTTCGCCCATGATGCGCTGGCGCCCCTTGCCAATGGCCAGGATGCCCACGGTTCTCTTCAGTTTTCCGAGCCTTCCATGCGTGGTACGAGTTCTATGTAACATGGATGAATATGTACCTTGCAGGAAATCTGAATTGTCGTGCAGTTCGCATGGAAGCGATAGGTTCAATGGTGCCGCTCTACAGTGACGCGTGATGCTAGCACATGACGACCCAAGCACCCCATATTCATGAAACATGCAAAGCTCTACCTCAAGAAAATTACGGATAGTATGACTGTAGTGATGGTGTTCCGATATAGCAAAAGCTCGCGGTGGCTGCCAAGCTTGATACAGCACCACGTGGCGAGTACACGTACATCCTGGATTGACCAGGGCATGGCACATCTGGTATCTATCATCTTTTTTCTCTTCTAACATTACCAGATTTCAACAGTTCAACGTGGTGTCAGTCTGCACTTCAGATTCACTCATCGCGCCGCATAGCTGAACCGGGTTAGCACACTACGGCCGCCATCTCGCTTAGATGCGGCGACCTTTCCAACGGCCACGATAATCGGAACCGTCGGTGACGACTGCGCAACGCTTCAGACGTCGATATCAGCAGATAGGCAGACGATTAATCATGAGCCATGTCCAATTGGAGCCATGGCAGCCGGTGCAAAGAGCATCGGGAAAAGCGACGGAGCTTGCCCGTCGCAAAATCTTGCTCGATGAGGAAACAACCTCCACGAATGCCCCGCGCCTAGTCTACAGCGACCACAACGACATGGCCGCTTTCGGCCCACTATACTCACTAGCCGCTTGTGGTGCGAGTGATAGTAGTAGTGCGTGATGATATAAATACGCAATGCGATGGTCTTGGATGGTCATTGCTGCATCAAACCTCTCCTACTTCTATGCTCTGCGACGATAAGCCCTGGCTACTGAACAACATGTCGTCGAGCAAGCCCTCATACCTCGTCGTTGGCGCCGGTGTCTTCGGCATTTCGACTGCTTACCACCTTATCAAGAAGTACCCAGACCGACAAGTTACCGTTGTCGACCAGGATGCTTGGGACGCCGATAACCGCGTAGCAGCTTCATGGGACTGGAACAAGGTCGTGCGCGCCGACTACGACGATGTCATCTACTGCAGACTCGCGCTCGAGGCCCAAGATGTTTTCAAGGAGGATCCATTATGGCAGCCGTACTTCCACGAGACCGGTATCTTCTGGGTTTGCCGTTCAGATTACGCACAAGAAGTCATCGACAACTACAAGAAGCTTGGACGCGAAGCAGACCTGCAATCAGTCACCATTGAGGAAGCGAAGAAGTTGTTCGGCGGACTTTTCGAGGATGCGAATTACGACGGCGCAAAGAGTGTACTCGTCAACAAGACGAGTGGCTGGGCACAGGCTGGCGACGCGCTAAGAGCAGTTACCAAGTGGTCGATCGCAAAGGGCGTCAAGTACATCACGGAGAAGGTCAAGGACCTAGACATCGACAGCACCGGTCGATGCACAGGCGTCAACACCGAGCAAGGCAGCACCATCAAAGCCACGCACACCATCCTCTCAACCGGCGCCTACACCGCCAAGCTCCTCGAGCAAGCCGCCCAGAAAAGCGGCAACCCCAACCTACGTTCTGGCTCAAGAATCGTCGCTGGTGGTATCACAACCGGCATGACGACTCTAGACGAGAAGTCGTACGAGAAGTTCAAGGACATGCCCGTTGGTGTCCAGGGCTACACCGCCGCATACGGACCCTTCATCGGCAGCTTACCGCCTACCAAGGACCGCGAGCTCAAGTGGTGGGGCGAGAAGATCTTCAAGCATACACATGAAGTACTACCCGGTCGCTTCGTTTCTGCGCCGCCGTCTGGAAAGGATTATAACCAGTGGGACGTGCCTGGCCCGTTGAAGCTGGATATCGATCACGCGAATGATGTGTTCTACGGGAAGAAGGGCGCGAATTGGAAGATGGAGAAGCATCGCATTTGCTGGTAAGCTCTACACTCATGTACCCTCTACTTTTACAGTACTAACATCACCCAGGGACGCATTCACGACTTCATCCGACTTCATCATCTCGCCGCACGCTGGCGCCAAGGGTCTCTACGTCGCTACATGCGGCTCCTTCCACGGCTACAAGTTCTTCCCCGTTCTCGGCAAGTACGTCGTGCAGATGCTGGAAGACGAGCTGGAACCAGCGCTCAAGGAGAAGTGGGCATGGGATCGCGAGAGACCGGCGCCTAGCCTCAACCCCGACTGGCCTAGGTTCGAGATGACGGACTTGATGGACCAGTGGCCAAAGGCCAAGTTGTAAGATGTATCAAGAGGATTGTGATGAAGTTAATGAGTGGATGTTGCATATTTGCATGGCGCCTGGGCTGGCGTTCACATTTCTTTTACATAGCGGATGTTGTCAATAACAATCCTACTTTTCCACCTTACAATCCCATCGCCGCATTCCAGCCTTCTCCTCAAGTTCTACCTCAATTTCATCGACCCACTCATTCATTTCTTCCAGATATGCCGTTATCTTGCTCATACAGCGTTTGAAGTGTCGCTTTCGCTCCTCGTCGAGTGTTCTGAACTTATCTTTACCCCACGTACCCAGGTAAACATACTTCATATCTTTTAGCGGGCTCATCACGTTTGCGGTAAGACAGTCCATTCTTTCGGCTTCGGTGGTTAGGGAAAAGAACGGATCGAGGAAGCAGCCATGAAAGTAGAGCTTTTCCAAAGGACCGGGGCCGCACATCTTGGGTGTTTAGAGTAGATTGCGGTGAGGGATTGATGGCTGAGTTGGGGAAGACAAAAGGGCGCGAATTGATTTTAACTTGAACAAACACTCGTGCAGTCACCGTATTGAGCTTTCTCACATTGTTAGAGCGCAAACATTCGATCATGAAAGGGCACATACGCTTGCGTAGTGGAAGATGCGAGCAAACACACGCCGTATATACCTTGAGCGAACCTACCAGATCTGCCCGCCACCGCCTACTCCACGATGTCCTCTCGCACAGTTGGAAACGAACCCAAAACTTTCACAGATAACTTCGCAATCGAGGAGCTCTACAAAGCTGTCCTCAGGTTCCAGCGCGTATGCCTCGGTAGAGATGTTAATGGCAGCATGATCGACACATCCAACCGAGCGAAACACCCCACTCTAAGTGCGGGTAACAAGAGCCTTTTCAAAATAACTGCGGCGCATTTGCAGAATGTTCTGAATTGGAGTAGAGAGATCGGTTTGGACATGAATATTGAAGAGGCTGGTGATATTGGGAAACAAGGACTACCTGATCTGCCCGGTTGGGTGTTGGGAGAAGAAATTAAGAAAAGCAAGCACGGTGACGATTGGTTGCAGTGGAGTAAGTAATCCATCATGATGAGGCAATCAAATGCTCAATTAATTCATTTTGACATTATCGTAAAGCTCATCTTCGAGCAAAGTAACAGGGATCGTAAGAAGAGAGAACCCCAGCAGCACGCTTAGTTACCGACCTGAATCGCGTAGCCACCGTCAACGGTAACAGTCTGACCGTTAAGATACTGGCAGCAAACAGCAAACAGAATAGCCGCAGCCATATCCTGATCCTTTCCAGGCCTCTGTGCAGGAAGACCCTCCTTGTGCTCCTTAGGCATCTCACTCTTCTGGTTGTCGTCTCTGCTCTCTTGAGTGGTCATCTCTGAAGGGAAGACACCCGGCGCAATCGAGTTAACCCGAACCTTGATCCCGTTCTTCGCAATCTCGGACGCGAGCAACTTGTTGAGGTGTATCGCGGCACCTTTGCTGGAGTTGTACGCAAAGTGACCTTGCGAGATCTTGATGTGACCGGAGATGGAGGAGATGTTGATGATGGTGCCGGAGTAGCCTGGATGGGTCTCGGTAGACTTTTGGAGGAGAGGAAGGAAGGCGGTGGACATGAGGAAGGGGCCGACGACGTTGGTCTGGTAGACGTCGAGCCATTCTTGTTCGGTTGTGCCGTCGAAGAGCTTGGAGACGAGGTCTTCGGCGCTGCCTTTTACTTCGGTCTTGCCTGGGGCGATGCCGGCGTTGTTGACTGAGGGTGTTAGTTGGCGTTGTACTAGATAGTAATAGGTGGTGGATAGCTTACCAAGAACGCATAGGCACTTCTCTTTTGATTCGATCTCCTTCTTGATCTTGCTGTGAGGTAGTTAGATGCCGTTCTAGAGCGAATGGCACGGGTGACTTACGATACGCCCTCCTTGGTGCTGCAGTCTCCGACAATCGGAATGATCTAGCGACTGTTAGACTATATCCTTCATGAATTCACCGTGTCGAAGACTTACCTGCCCTGAAATGTTCTGGCCGTGCACCTCAACTACCTTCTCAAGCTTCTCCTCCGTCCGTCCAACGATGTAAACCTTAGCACCGTTGACAGCGAGAGTCTGTGTGATCATGAGACCAATTCCAGAGCCACCACCGGTGACTAGAACGACCTTGTCCTTGACATCAAAGACTTGGCCCATCTGGAGTTCGGCATTGTTGGTAGGAGCCATGTTTGCGTAATTGCGCTGTTGATTCTGTGGTTGGAATTGATTCGTGATTAGTTTCGTGCGTTCAATTGATTGCATGCGATTTGAGAGTGCAGAGATTGAAGAGGGGGAAGGTCGTGCTGCAGAAGTTGTGATATAGCGGGTAAACGGTCTGACGTCACGGTATGAGCACCGCGTTGCAAAGCGCGTCAAGGTGACGTG